ATCACCTATGTGCATCAATCGTAAAGATTGATGCTTTATACCTCTAGACCGCATATTGTAGAATTGCGGTTCAGCTCGCATGAAACATCTTGAAAATTGACGGTCCAAAAATGCGTTAAAAGATGCACTATTTTCAAAACTTTAAATCCATTTTTTTTTCATGTCCATGCATCTTGTGTTGACATGATCAATTTCAGGATATATGGGCATCAAAAGAACCTCTTCTAGTGAATTTTTGAGATGGGCTTTAATTTAATTGTTTAAATCATCGACACTATATAAACTATTTCATTTGTATATTCCAAGAGGAACCCCGCCTAAATAATTTGTAGGTCGAGTGAAGAGTATTATTCGGATATGAAAATGTACTGAATCCACTTAGTAATTTATTGTTCAACTTCAACATATTATTGGCTCAAATTTACTCAGGTATAAGTGAGCTGTTTAAATATTGTGTGAATAGCTCAGCAGACAAGAAAAAAAAAAAAAAGCAATGGTGTGAGTTGTGTGGAAGTAGCCCCTCTACACTTCATAGAATGGCAATGCAACCTGGCGTGGGGCCAAGGTCCATGTGATACCATGTAATTGGCAATAATTACAACAGGACACGACACGCGCAATGCAAGGAGAGAGATAAGATATGGAAAACAACTTTTACTTTTACTTATTCTTTTGCTCTTTTTATTTATTTACTCATAGCGTATCACATGATAACCTTAGTAACAGGTGATGAGAGCTGATAATTATTTCTTAGAAAAATTTATAAAAACCGCCGAAATTTGTACTTTATAACTATTCTCCTATCATTCTTTCTCAACCCTAATTTTCTTTATAACTATGTTGAAGTAAAAAAGTGAATTTGTTACCAATATACCCCCTTAGTAACTCCTGGTTCTAAAAGGAGACACCCAAGAAGTGTCAGTCCCGCACAACTTGAAAATAGAGCTACCCGGGCATAAAAACTGTGTTGTACCGGCTCTCTATGCAAGTTGTGTTGTTTCGAAACGAACACAGCTATTATAGAGTTGGTCCAGCACAAAACGCACGTCGATCAAATTTATATCGTTGTACCATTCTAGTAAATTTTTTATCGGATTACTTAGAAAGAAAGCAGAAACATGACCTAAAAAGCGGGATTTTGGTCCAAAAACAAGGTCGTTTTATTTTTTGGGGCGGTTGCAAATATAAAATGTTTTTAAGTTAGGAGTGTGATTTATGAACTATTAAGGGGTGGCATGCCTATTTTGTAACTTTGGGGGTGGTTGAAAATATAAAATATTTTGGGGTTAGGAATGTGATTTATAAACTATTAGAGGCGTGGCATGCCTATTTTTTATTTTCGGGGATGGTTGCAAATGGAAAACATTTTGGAGTTAGGAGTGTTATTTATAAATTATTAGGGGTGGCATGCTTAGAAACTGGGATCAATGAGGTATCTATAATTTTTTTTTTTCTCTTTTGTTTTTTTTTTTTTTAGGATAAAGTTTCTATAAGGCCCAATCTTGATGAAAATAAAATAAAGTCTCAACTTAAATCCTTGTCCGGAAAGCACTTTCGATAAAAAAAATATCTATGATGGCTCTAAAATCAATTTTCAACACCAACAATAATATTTAAAACTCAAAAAAGGTATAGATCTTGTGGATATGTGAATACCTTTTTTTTATGACCGAATAGAGAGTCTAGATAGTATGTAAGAATATACACTATTTTTAAAGGGACCCAGTATCCATGCAGCCAAGCCGGCATATGTAGAAATGCGGTCCTCTTAATAAATCTATTTTTGAGATGAATTTTAAGACGTAATTTTAAAGACATGTAATCTTTAACATGAAGATCATGAATATGCAAAAATAAATAAAATTTAAAAAATAGATATAATAATTCTAATAAGAAAACATTTGACATTAGTTTTCATTATTTTTTAAGTGGAACTCCTACTTTTTGGACCCCATATGTAGAAATGCGGTCCAGCCCACATGAAACAATTTTCTTTTTTAAAGCTTAAAAACTTTTTTTTATTTTTAAACACCCATAATATTGAAGTCAGATAATATTGATGGTAAAGTTTTCCATGAATAGCAATTTTAGATGAATAATGAAATGAGGCTTTACAGGCTGCAGCCGTGTCTTACCATTTTCTTCCAAGGTACGGGGTAGCTTTAGCAGAGGAAAGAGCAGTGGGTAGGAGGATAGGTAGATTTGGCGCCGAGTAATGTGGTGGCATAGGCCTGTCAGTTTCAAGGGGAAAAGTGCCTTTCCAAACTCGCCTCTAAACTAAACTTTTGTTAGAAGGGGGAAGGAGGTCCCACGGTTTTGTTCCAAAACTCGCGAGTGCAAAATCTACAAAGTTGTTCTAAAAAAACGTATAACAGTGCAGAGTGCAAAATCTAGAAAGTTGTCTTTATAATATTTTTTATGTATTTCTCCTTTGTTTTATTTTTCTTTTGTTTTTTTGTTTTCTTTTTTCTTACTATGGATGCAGTTTCTATGCTGCTAGCCCGCATATTGTAGAAATGCAAGCTTGGCAATAAATATATTTTTAAATATAATTTGATCCAAATTTTTTTTGGAGATCATGAATATGAATTTTTTTTGATAAATAAAAATAATAATTATATTCGGACTGTTAGTTAAACTTGTTTTTAAGTGAACTACCTATTTGCATCCATCTTTAAGATGGATGCTTTATACCTCTGGACCGCATAGCCCGTATGAAACAAATTTTTCTTATTCTATTTCTGTACTTAAAACTTTATTTATTATTACAAAATTTTTATTTTTGACTGTAGGGTTTGTTGTTTTGGGTGAGTAGACTCAAACTGCCAGAGTTGGACAGGCCCGATAGGGTGCCAAGCCCATAAATCCCTTAACTCGGGGGATAGAAACTTTATTCGTTGTACATCTTATTTTGATCTTCAATCAGATTACCTACACCACCACCCTTGAGGGGCACATAGACACACATATGAGAGAGAGAGAGAGAAAGATATGAGAGATAGAAATTTATCAAAATTGTCATAAAGAAACGTTATTTTACCTATATTTTTTATTCAATTCCAAAATACCCAAAACACTTGAGTTGAAATATTATAATAATTTATAATAATATATTATAATATATTATCATATTATATCATATCATATTATATTATATATTATATTTTTATTTTATTAATATAATATATATTATGTAGTATATATTGATTACATATTATATATATTATATATTTATTATATATTGATCACTGAAAAAAAGTACTGCTTCAGGTATCTAATCATTTTTTCTTAAACCCAATTATATTTATAATATTTCTTTTTTACTTTTTTTTTGTGACAATATAAAAATAATAATACATGTAAATTTTAAACATTTTTTACAATTTCTTTGAAATTTTTTGTGTTTTTTGAGATTTTTTTACCGAAATTACATTTTTCTAAAAACATTAAAGCACAAATCAACCGAACTAGTCGAAATGAGTCGAACTAATCGGATCAAGCCAAGACCGACTAGTCCGCTCGATACCTTGGTTTGAACACTGGTTAAAGGTTATTAACATTCCACTTGACGTTAGGTGTGGTCCTACTTCCTATGGCCCATCGAATGTGTTCCTTTG